AGCATCAGGCTGCTCTCGGAGGTTAATTCAGGCAAATTTATTGCAGGTGCTGGGTGCAGCTTCCTGGAAGGTCCTTGCGACTGGGGAACAGGACTGTGTTCCGTGCGGGATTTGCATTGTGCTTACCTGCCCCTCTCTGTTCCCCCCCCAGCTGCCGGTCCCCATCGCGGTGTTTTTCTTGCTCTACAAGGAGCGGATGGTGCCCTGCTTCAACAGTAGCAGCCACCCGCTGCTGTCGGCCGACGAGCTGGCGATGGAAACGCGGCCCACGGAGAAGGACGATCTCTCCACCGCTGTGCAGAGACCCCGGGCAGCAGGAGGTGAGCTGGAGGCACCGCTCCGATCGGTTTGGGGAGCGAGCAGGGGGAGAAAAAAGCCCTATTTCTGAGTGTCTCCACTGAGGTTAACGAGTGAGATCCACTGCTATTCCCTAAGGAGGAACCTTTCCAAAACGTACATGTGAATGTAATCCAGAAGTACCCAAACAATCCAGGCAGACAATCTGGTGCCCGATTGCCCTCAAATTAGGTGGGACCATCACCCTGAATGGAGATTAGTATCCTGCTGTTGGGACTCCGGGCTGCTTTTCGCCAAGCTGTCCTAAAACTAAACCTGGTCTTCCGAGTCGTTTAAGCACACGTGAAAGTTGTGCCCTTTCATTTCCTTCTGGTTTCGGGTCAGGTTTTGGGCTGGCTTTGTTGCCTGTTCAGTTTAGGAGCGGTCATCATGCTGCAGAACGCTGATTTTTTTTTTTTTATAAATTGGAAAGGAATAAGGACAGCGCCCTTGTTTGAGGGGAAAAGTTGAACTCCAGCAATAGTTTGCTCTTGAACTTGTGACAACACCCTGGTTTGGGGACAATAGTAACATTGTTCTTTGCTACCCAAGAGAAACGTATCGAAGTAAATTCTTCAGCTAAACAGTGAATCTCAGAAGTAATCGTATTTTAGGGTTTTCAGAGGAGCGTTTAGCATTGTTACGGAAGAGGTGGCTTTAGCTGAACAATAAAAGGAAATTTTGGGGAATATTTGAAGGTGGAGGCAGTTAGAGATGTGGTGAGGTGCCGCAGGGAAGGATCCTAGGTGTCCCTAATGGTGCCTGATAGGGTTGTGCTCATCTGATAGCATTTCCCTTAGCTGAGATTCTGATGGTTTCTTTCCTCAACCCAGCTGCCCGTTTTCATACAACCCATTGAAGCTTCATGTTCTTCAGATCTCCGTCTTCCTCTTAAAGGCAGTTGAGATTAACCCTTAGAGAAGCAGGAAGGCTGTGTGCTGACTGCTGTGATCCTTGACAGTTGCATCTGTGCTGGCAAAATCCCCCCCTTCCCCACAGAATGAGCGAGAATTTCATCTTTGCCATGCAGGAGCAGCTGTCTCACCTCGACTCCAGGTGCCCTTACCTTAACGCCAGCCCTTTGCACGCCCCAGAGTGGTGCGATACAAGCATGAGGACGGGAGAGTCGGGGATTCCTGGGGTCCTGACCCCCAGCTTTGGCAGGCTGTGGCTCCCGGTGGTCCGCTCAGAGGAGGCGATGCTACCTGTGTGTTCAGCACTCTCTTGCCCAAAGTTGGCTTGGTTGGTTAAATATCATTGATCTGAGGAACCTGAGCTATCCTGGGCAGGCCTCTCCTGTGTGGGGGTACCAGGGATGAGGGGCTCTGAGCACTGTGGTCAAATGGGCTTGTTTCTATTGCTTGTAAGAGCAGGGCCAGCAATGTGTTGCTCCTAATTGGGAAGAGGAGCCCAGGCAGCTATATTAAGAGAAGTAGCAAGTATCCTGGAGAGCTAGGATCCCAGTCTGTGGACAGCGGCCCGTAAGCGTATCCATCTTCCTTCTGGAAGTTTAGAGGTAGGTAAAGAAAGGGGTTGTGCCAGCAGAGGTTAGCAGTGCTTCGTGATGCTCACTGTCCTCCATGAATCTCTGTCTCGCAGCGGAGCGCAAAACAAATCCCCGTTGCGGGCTGGCAACCACCCAGCCCCAGGGGGACTTTCCAGCTAAGTTTGCTTTGCATTGTTTTTCACCAGGTCATGATGACTTATTTAGCTGCTGCCAAAGCAAAAACTTCAGAGGGGCTTCTTACACCTACTTCGCAGTCCACATCACTGGGGCTCTTGTTCTCTTCATGACTGATGGGATTGTGGTGAGTTCAGCTGATAGAGGGATCTTGTCTGAGCACAGCTGTATGGCTTTCTTCCTTCCAAATCACTTGCAACAGCCCAAACCCAGCACATGTCCTCTGCGTGCAGCGGGCTGGACCCGAGGCTCTGCCAGCGCGGCAGTCCGGTCCCCGAGGAGCTCGTTCAAAGCTCATCGTAGTCAGGCTGGTACCTGCCCTGCTTCTTGGGAGGGTTTTGTGGCTTCTCCTAGGCTCTGTGTTGTTGCAGCTAGATTGCTACTGCTACAAACCTGGCCAGTTTAGAGCTGGAGTTGTGCCGTTGTCTATGTGTATGCAGTGGAGGTCTCTTCTCACTTCAGCCTAGAGGCAAGAACGGCTTCATTTTTATTTCCTTAGAAATGGTGGCTTTGTTTGACGGGTCTCCTGAGCCCTCAAAATCCAAGATGAGAGCATGCGGGGATGGTGCGGTCTCTGTAGTGGCCGGCACAGTCACAGGGGCTTCGCCGTGCGTAGCACTTCTGTCCGGACGAGGAAGGCTCGCTCTTGGCTGGCAAGCTGCTGTTCTTTTTCTTTCAACAGTTTTGTCTCCATGCCCTCATGGTAAAACACTGCTGGGCGTTAAATAGGGTCCTGAAAGATGAGCGGGGTTCCACAAAGCAGCTGTCAGATACGGGAACTTTCCAGGGCCTCCATCTTCAAGGATGATCAGCTCCGGGTTCTTAATGTAATAAGTTTTGAGAGTATGCAATTCCAAAAGGACAAGACAGCCCCTAGGGAAGAGAGCATCTCTACAGATAAGAGCGTAGCATGCATTTTACCTAGTAATGCTGTTAAGCCTTGCCCTTTTAGGAGAGCTTAAGTCCTGTGTTCTACTTCTGGCGGAAGCCTGTCTCCAGCTGCAGACCCTTGGGAACAAGGTTCATTGAGATTTGGTAGCCAATGCATAGGTGGGCTCTCCGGCACTGTCACGATACTGTGAATACTTGAGGGACAGGTTGAAGTTGCGAAGCCTGTAAGTCGTCACAGCGCTGTGACATGCCGTTTTGTTTTCCCTGCAGGGAGAGTACTCGGGCTTCATTTACAGCTACGCAGTGGAAGAGCCCCTCTCTGTAGTACACAAAGTGGCCGGCTCCCTGCCCAGCCTCTTCTGGGGATTCATCACGCTGGGCAGGCTCATCTCCATCCCTGTGTCCTACCGAATGAAGCCGGCAACTATGGTCTTCATCAATGTGGTAAGGCTGGGGTGGTTTGGTTTTTTTACCATGTTTTTTTCTTCTGCTTGCCTCCAAGCTGCTGCCTAGGTCTGGTTCTGATGTGCAGAGCTGCAGCTATGCTCATGCTGTACCTGGGGCAGATCCGTGCCAGGTGAGCGGCGTTGGCCCCTCTCTGCGTCGCCATCTGCGTGTGTGCAGCTGACCCCGACGCAGAGGTGGCTAAGACGTCGCTGCGCTGCCTTTCGGAGCCTGCTTCTCGGTCAGTCGAACGTTGGATGTGTGGCGGCACCCAGTAACTGTATTTACTCTGCACACTGTCTTCTCTGGCAGCTACAGGGCCATTAATGTCTGTGTTAGAGCCATGGGAAAGGGAAGACAATTAGTTCAGTAAATTCTCTGCTTAGACTGTAGCAGCTGGCAAAGAAACCACTGTGCTGTGAGGTTGCTTAAATCAATAAAACACATTCACTTGAAGAAAGGGGGAGGCATCCTTTAAGGCTATGTAAGAAAGATGCCTGTAAGGATGTGGCAGACAACAGGGAGGGAGTTGTTCCCATTCACACTTCTTTGAAAAGGAAAAAAACCCAAATAAACTAGTGAGAAGGCAATTAATTTTAATTTATTTAAAGCAGAAGTTATTTTGGTAGCAAGTTTCACCGTTAATATTGGAAGGCCCAGAGTGTGTAACAGGGTGGTGAGAGAACAGGAGTTCCCATTGGGACGTTCTTGCCGGTAACTTTAAAAACTGAGCTTCGATACCGACAGAAACAGCCAAATGAAATGCAACTGTTTTAAAAATGAGTGTAATCTCCTGCTTCAGCACATAGCCACTGCTTGTATGGGAGCAGGGAAAGCTGAGCGTCAGCAGAGCGCTCTCGGGTATCCGATAGGATCGGTCCCGTGCAGCTCCTCGATGGGTACTGCGACTTAACCACGTGTCCGAGCCTGAAGCCGGGACTTCTGCTTTTGCTGCTGCTAATATTTGGAGAGAGGAGGGAATAGCCTCCAGCCTTGAACGGAAGCCTTCTCGCTTGCCCTTAAAGGCAAGGGCAGTGCTACCATCCAAGGACAAAAACTCACTTGACTGACGCTGGACCCTTCGTGCTGTGGCCAGGACGATAGCCCCAGCTCCTGGAGCCACTTCAGCGTTACAGCAAACTGCGGTTTCAATTCAGTTCCTTGAGAATCCAAATTGCTCTTGGGTACCTGCACACGCTTGTAATCAGGGCCTGAACACTTAAGAAAAAAATAAGAAAAAAATAACTGGCGCTGGTATTGCAGAGCTCCCTCTGCTGTCGCGCTCTGCCGTGGCTAACCGGGTCCAGCTCGGATGGTTTTGCTGCTTATTGTACGCTAGAGCAAGCCCGAGGTGAGGGCAAGTTTATTTAAGTTGCCTTGGCTCTTTGGCTTTACTGCTGTGACTGCTTCCTGAGCAGTTATCGAGAGTGAGTTAATTATTTAACCTGCACATAAGACTTTTATTAGCGATCGAGACGTGCAACTGTTACGGAAGCAGCAGTACTGTTGTATTTAAAGCTGCAGATAAAAAGTATTTTTTTCAGATACCTAATGAAGCCGAGACTCGCGTCCCACGTTACGTTCCAAAGTCCTGTTAGCAAAAGTACCGAGTGCTTTACTGTAACAGTAGATGGGTTTCATTTGGCAAGTTGCTTCAGTTTTTCAGATTGTGATCTTTTTTTCTGGATGGCTTATTTTCTTTTCCAGACTATTTTCTACCAAAAAAAAAAAAAAAGTCTAGT